TGAATAGCAGAAGAGGGGTCACTGAGAGCACAGGAGAAACAGGCTCCCTGTTCTCAGTTCCAGTGCCCAGCCCCATCCTGGCTTGGAACTGCTGGGAGCAACCATTACAGGGAAAGACTGGCTTTGACCCTGTAACCTTTGGCTGAAGAGCCTGCTCTGTGGGGATGGCACATGTGCAATCTGGTTAGCACTAGGAGCTGAGAGAAGTTTGAGCATGCTCATTGAGGACAGAATCTTTTGAAATTTTAGCTGCTAAAATTAAAGTTTCAACTGATCATGTGTGAACTGCGATTTTTTTTCAAAGGCATATAACTTGGCCAAATTTAGGCAGATGTTCATCAGTTTGGCAAAAGACTACCTCTACCAAATTTCAAGTCCCTACTCCAAAGCATGTGGGCGCTAGAGGTTTTCAAAGGGTTGCCAGAATTTTTTTATCATGGGTAAAATTTATTTCTTATTCAAGTAGTGTCCCTATGGGTGCTTCACTGGAGGTGCATATGCGTCCCTGTGGTGCTTATCGGAGAACTTTGGTAGCAGTCTCTGTTCGGCCCGCACATGCGCTGTCCCTGCCCTCGTGCTCTGCCACAAGGCTAACCAGTGCTGCGTGGGCAAACCCCCCTCAGTTCCTTTTCTACCGCAAAGTCCTTGACAAGAGCTGCAAAGTAGAGGGGAGGTGGGTGGGTCATGGAGCACCCATCGGGGGACACATCTCGAAGAACCATCATTACTGCACAAGGTAACTTCCTCTTTTCCCTAGCTTCATTCTCAGAAATGGCTGAACCAGTTTGACTGAAATGAAAAGCCTGAGGCAGAAACCCAGAACATAAAATATCAGCCCAGATGGTTCATTTGGCAAAGTTTTATAAGCAACTGAAAACAGGGTCTTATAATGGAAAGTGGGCAACTTTAGTAACAGGTGGCACTTACCACCCACACCTGTGATCAGCAGCAGCTCCTGAACTCTGAAACTGCCATGTTCTGCTGACGGTGTTTATAGAGAGTTTTTAATGCACGCTTGAATGTGCCCATTAATGCTAATATTATGCACTAATTATTTAACATTACAACTTTCCTTTGGGTTTGATTTACATTCAAGGCTTTTGTAAAGACAGCATTGGAGTTAGAGATGCAGTGTTAAATTATTTTGGATTTCCGTAATTGCTTTGATGTCTCAAGTCAAGATAGTTTGAGGAAGTTTTCTCCAATAGGAAAGTTCATTTACTGGAAATTCTGAGAGGCAGGGGCAGATTGTACTATCTTAAATTGAAATGTAATAAAAGTTTGATCATTTCCATGCTTATTTATGTTTGGATTAATGAATGGCTCATTTTGGGAAAAGGAAGAATAGAGTTACAGTATCCTACCGGCTATTCCCATTGCTGTGATTACATGGAGTAACAGTATGGCCAGTACAATTGATCCCAGCATTATATATGTCATTTTCTCAGTGCCAGGTCATTATGTGGAATGTCCTTTTTCTTTCTCCTTCAAATTCCCTTCTCACTTTTCCCCAAAGAGATTAATTGGATTCTCTGTGCTGGATCAGCTGAGCTGAGTTGTTTCACCGTCAGCAAACTCAGTGAGAAGCAAGAGCTGGAGTAGACAAAGAAAGAATTCTACTCAGGAGAGTGTAGCAATAGACTTCATTGTAGCTTTGAACAAAAACGTCCTTGAAATACCTTTTTGGTAGGTTAACTGCTGTGACTGGGGGAGCTAGCAAACTGAAAGGTCTCCTCAATGATTCTTACAGACTAATGAACACATTTGATTAAGATTTGGCAGCTTTTCCTAATATTCCCTGTAACTAGCAAATCTTCCCAGGCAGTGCTGTGCTCCATGTTTGAAAAGAGAGCAGCCTAGTAATTAAATGATGAACGAAGGCAAATGTACTGATGAGCGTGTTGGGTGGTTAATTAAATGAAAGAAAGAGAATGTAAAACAAAAATGCCCGTCTAATGTCCCTTGAGGCCCTGCCAACGCCCCGCTTCCCCATCCGAGTTTATAATGGAAAATAATGGAAAGGAGACACCTGCACAAATGCTGTTTTCTTGGTTGGCCCTTTGTGGTTGGAAATTGCTGCTGCACCCTATCAGCCTGGCATATATAAGAAAGTAACTAATGATTATCTACACAAATCACCTTCTAATTCATAATGTAACAGTGACATCCCCCAATGTAGCACCATCACCTTGATGATACAGTGTAGCTGTATCATTTTAAAATATCCAGGTTTTCCTAGGTGGCATGATTTTTTTTTAAAACTTCAGTGTTCTGTTAAGATTTTCTTCCCCTTAAGTTATTGTTAAATTTTTAGAACCTTAACACTATTGTCTCAGAATTTTCATTCTGATTATGCCTTGGTTGGAGTGAGATTCAACCAAGGCATAATCCAAGGAGTGGGGAGGAGGGATAGCTCAGTGGTTTGAGCATTGGCCTGCTAAACCCAGGGTTGTGAGTTCAATCCTTGAGGGGGCCACTTAGGGATCTGGGGCAAAATCAGTACTTGGTCCTGCTAGTGAAGGCAGGGGGCTGGACTCGATGACCTCTGAGGGTCCCTTCCAGTTCTAGGAGATAGGTATATCTCCATTCATTTATTAATTTACAGTGTCCAATGCTTACTTCCATGAGTATAGATTACACTGCTGTCTGCAAAAGAAAGGGAATTTCATTGCATTACTTTTGTACTCCAAAGACAGTAAGAAACTAATCAGGAATACATCTGAATAGGATTCAACTGGGTGACACAGCCTGTGCCGGAATAAACAGCTTTGCATTCTAGACATGGAATGTTCAAACATTATCATCAAACGAGGTTTGGTGTTGCTGCTGAATTAGCTGAAATGATAAGCAGCTGATATTACCTGAAGGCAATTGCTAATTGATGGAGGGTCACCTTGGGATCTGTGGTACCACAGAGGCCAATAGGAAGATAGCAATGTGTGGTTTTATGTAAGACCATTATAATTTTGTACAAATTTGAACTAATAAATAAAACTCTCTCCAGACCCAAGTTTCAAGGCAGAATAAATGCCTGTAGAGACTTAGCCTCAACCAACTAATGGACAGAAATATGCTGTTCAGATCCCAGAATTGCTGACAATGATTATTTCCTATGCTGCTGCTACAGTTATGGTTGCAAACTAAGGGAAAAACATAACAGTAGAAGTTACTTGTGTGTATGGGCCAATTTAGATTAGTTACCAAAAATAATTGGGCTCTGACTAGTAGAATGGGAGCTGGTCAATGATTCTGGCCTCAGACCTACAATAAGAAATACCCCCATCAGTTTCAGTGCTAGTTTTTCTATGGAAAGATTTTTGTGTTTAGGAAAGAAACTGCAGCTCTGTAACTTTTAATGTAGTTTCTCGGGAAAAGGAGACAGGCCGAATATAATGCAAGAAAAAAGCCCCCTGTAATTAGTACAGAGGGAAGAAAACATTTAAGCATTATGGAGCAACACCAAGTAGACAAAAGCAGGTAAGAAACTAAACATGCTTTGGGTGAGCAAAACCAGTTCTGCGAGTGTGTGTTTAAGGCTTTGCCTCTGTGAAATGTGCAAGCCAGAAAATATGAAATGTACACAGCAATTCTTGGAAGACCTTGGGAAGGGCTCTTTTCGTTGTTCAACTTACCACATATCTGTTCCAATAGATCCTTACCATGGTCATACAACATGACAAGCTGTTGCATAATGGATGTTCTTTTTTTTTTTTTTAGAAATACCTTATGTTCTTATGTTTAGAAATACAAAAATTCTGCATCTTACTCTCCAGATGACAAGGGAAACTGAGTAAACTCGTGAAGGGTTTTGTGGGCCACATGGTTCATAGAGTTCAGATACCACTGAAAGTGCAACAGTAAATCACTTCATAGTGTAGCGGACTCTGGTATTATAAAACTCTGGTGATGTGAAGCAGATGTTTCTGTACTTTTTTTTAATGTATTGCAGGGTGCAAATTGCAATTTTCTGTTATAGTTACTCCACTTTAGATCTTCAAGTGCTTTTCTATTTTGTGCCAAGTTAAAAGATTTGTGAAGAAAAATATCATTAGGTTGCTATTTAAAAGGGTTTTGCCTGGGTTTTTTGAGGGGGATTTGTCTTTCACTGGTGTTTGGACAGTGTTTTCAGATAAATTTTTTGGAAGTGGACAGGGACACATTTAATATAACTATAGCCCTACTTCTTTGTGAGAGTCAGTACATATAATTTTGATGGCTGGGATTTAATGACATCTTTTGTTGGAAGAACAGTGAAGAAAATTAGAAATTGCAGTGAAAATCCTGGCATCCCTTGACTTTGTAACCCATAAATTAAAGCTTTTTGTGCTGTGAAACATTCAATGCCAAAGCATGATAAGTCTAACAACTTCTGTACTAATACATTTCTGTACTATTTATTTTATGTCTAAACATAATTGCCACATCTCTACTTTACCTTTTTAACCTCTACTGCTATAACAGTCAAATTACTTTGGCTGCTGGGAATCTCCCGTATTCAGAGCGTAACATTTTGGATGTGGGGAACTGCCATATAGTGTGACATAAGAGGAACTAAAGTCAGAGAAAAGTACCAGCAGTATCACTAGTGTGGGTATAAAACAGGGACAGCATAAAAGCAGTTTTATATTTTGGGGTTTTATATTCTGGGCTGAAATTGGTCCAAGTAAATAAGCAACCTATATACCTAACAGTTTTTAGGTACAACTTATTAGACAATGAGTTTTCCTATAGACACTAAAGAGAGTTTTTCTACAGATGTTAATAATCAGCTGTTAGTTTCTCTAGTTAAACCATTTGGGTATTTGGGAAGTTCGTGATCTCTGGAAAGGCTCACGAAAGGCATTCCAACTCCCAAGAGCCTTTCCAGAAGCAGCCATCATATAACCTTAGCTGCTCTTTGTGCAGTATTTGTCCTTCAATGCCATTATAGTGGCATTTTTAAAATAAATGAGTGTAAATGAAGTTTAAAATATATATGGGTGTCGTCTTCTTTTGATCAGCAAAACCAGAAGAGATAAAACCGGTGGAGCTTCTGACGGGAAGTGACATCACAGCACCTCCAAACAAAGAGCTTCCTCCAAGCCCTGAGAAGAAGACCAAGGTAGGTTTGCCATTATTTCATGGCTTCTTTATACCCAGCTCTGTGGGTTTGGTTTCCCCTGCTTGCTTTACTCCTTGCTTCTTAAGCTGTGATGATACAGTTCTGTTTTCTGAGCTAGCGGCTTCTGGGAAGTATTTCATTTGGACACCAAACAACGTAATTCAATTGTAAAGTTACAAACAAATCGGCCTTCAGTAAATCTAATTGAAACGGGATTTAGCCCAACAAATTTATGCTCAATTTAAATGTAAAATAATAAATTAGGCAATGTCCATGGTGGGGAGAACAATAAATTTTCATAATGACATTTCAAGAACATTCAAATTTTGATCCACTTGATAGTTTCGTTATTATTAATTTATTTGTATTTCAGTAGCATCCAGGGGTCCCCATCAGGACCTGGGGCCCTAGTCTGCTTGGCATTGTACAAACAGATGGTCTCTACCTCAAAGAGATGGCAGCAGTCTGAACCAGAACTCTTACTGAAGTTTTGAACCCAAGCAGTAATCTCTCTATCGGTGAATGCCATGGTTTTACTCTCATTCACGATGTCACCTGACAAATCCAAAGGAATAGGCTTTAAACAACTAAGCTCCAATTTTTATTAAGAGTTGATACCTAAGGCTGAATCCAGGTCACACTGAAGACATTGGGAATTTGGCCATTGATTTAGATTAGATTAGGATTTAGATCTTGCACTGCATTATATATGTACAATTAGACAGAAATGTCCCATTCATTGAGCATAGGACTAAATGTCAGGAACGCCAAGTATTAATTGCAGCTCCACCACTGACTCTCTTCTGGGGCCTTCATTGTCTCTGGGCCAAATTCTGGTCCCACTGAATTTAATAGCAAAACTCTTACTTCAGAGGGCAAAATCCTGGTCCCGGCGTTGCTGTTCCCCATCTGTAAAGCCGGTAATACATTACTTCCTGTCAATGTTATATGCCAGCTCCCGGCCTTTCTTTTGTTATGCTCAGAAAACAGGACGTTTAATGTTTTTGTTTCCTCTAAATAGCATTTTATGTTCCTTGCTGCTTAACATTTTTGTTTACAATGCGCTGTTTTTTTTCTTTTTGTCTGTGTTTGTGTTTACATTGGATGTTGCTTTTTGAAAAATGTAAAGCCTTCAGCATCCACACCATCAGCAAAACCTGCAGCAACGAAAACCAAGCCTCTGTCCACTACAAGCCCCAAGCGGCCAGCTTCTACCACACCTGGCCAAAACAAAAAACCCACCAGCCCTACTGCAGGTCCTACTTCAGCCACTACTCCCAAACGCCCAGCCACCAGTACTACACGTCCCTCCACTTTAACTCCTAAAGACACTAAACCAAAGGTAAGAGAGAATATTTCACTTGCACATTGAAGCTCCAAGGCTTGTAGACCAAAATCCAGGTAACTGTTTTATCTGACTAGCAACAGTCGACAGGAATCAAAGGGTAGCATAGTTCTAGAGACAACAATGGAACAATAAGATTAAAGCCTGATCTTGCTATCAGATCTGCATGGACACAAGATTTTGCCTCCATGGATCTGAGCAGAATATGTTTTTGGCACTGAGGAGTAGGAAGAGCAGGAGAGCGTTGAAACTTTCCTCTGTGTTTTGGTAGTTATTATCATGAACTACTAAAAGGTGCTCAAGAAAATTCTTTATTTTTTTAAATTTAAAACAAAAGCCTGTAACCTTCTTTGTTCTGCATTATATACTTCAGAGAACTGTTGAATTAATGTGATTGAATTGGGAACTTAATGTTAATGTTCAACTCCACATTCTATAAAAAGAGCTAGACCAAATAAGTCAACAAGAAAACTGGTAAAACAGAGGGTAAATAAGACCACTGGGACGTAGGAAGGGGAAAGGTTAAGAGTACTGGATAGCTACAGTCTAACAAGGCAAAGCAGAGACTATTACAATAATAACTGGGTTTAAGCTATGGTAGGGAAAAGTCATCTTAAATATTAATAAGGGACTGGAAGAAGCTGCTGAAACAGGTTGTGGAAATCTACCATCATTGGATGTCTTCAAGACACAGACTAATCACCCATTGTAGGTAATATCAATTGTGACACAAAGCAGGGGTATAGACGAGGTGACCGAATAGAGATGCTTCCACTCATAAATAGCTCTGTGAAATCTTCTCCAATGTCTTCCCAAATAAATCCCTGGAAGAATGACCTACCAACACTCCCCTTGAGATGAGCAGCAGGAATAACCTCCCCACCCCACACATACATACCCTAATGGTGTTTGCGGATTGGGTGCAATCCTTCCAATTCAATGTCACTTTATGTAATTTCGATAGGGCCTAGATACCACGATGATGGATGCCATTAGATACGACTTATTAATTGATCTGCCCAGTAAATGCTTGCAGGTTGTAATTCCGTGGTCATTCACGTGCCAGTCAACTCTAAAGCATCATATCCTAGAGCTAAAGAAGGATATAAGCACTCAATTTAGAGAACTGGAAGCCTGTCTTCAATGTCCCCCATGCTGATTGTGACCTATAAGTGGGTTGTGCAGTGTGTATTTGGTATTTGTAGAACACCAGACTTTTAAAGGGACACTGACAAAATACAAATATTTTTTTTAAAGTTCTTGTTTGTAATTGCATCAGAGATTATTAAATTGGAGCAATTTAAAAATCTAATGGACTTTCTGCTCCTCACTCAGCTAGGAAAATAAAACCGTTTACTTCACCTCTCACTGCATCATCTCTAGATGTTTAAATTTAATCAACTACTACATCTAGGTGCTTACATTTACATCCAATTTGAAGCAAGACATTTTTGTTTATAACAACTTCATGTGTATATTCTCATGCAGTAGTACAAAAACTGCAAAGGAATGTTAAAATAAATTTCAGCTGTAAATCTTTACATTCATCAGTGTGTTTAAGGCCTTTACTATCAAACACAGATCTAACGGATTGTGTTTGAGTGTCCCCTATACAGGTGGCTACAAAAGGGCAAATATATTTGTCTTTGTCTGAACAAAGCCAATATATATTTTGATGGAAATACTGATTTTTGGGTAGGTAATCCCACTTTCACTTCCTCCTTCCATAGTTACTTTTCTAAAATTATCATTAATCTTAAATTTATAACACTTTTTAAAATTGATTTTAGGTAAGCCATAATACCGCAGAAATTCTGAGTCATTACCTAATATTGTGTAACTCCCCTGCCCCCCCTTCCCCAAATAACCACTTCTAAATTATTTCCAATTTCTGTTGATGTTGCAGTCAAATCGTCCCCCCTGTTTAGTTTTCCAGGAAGGAACAAACCACTCTCCATTTTCCTGATGGGTCAGTTGTTCATAAATTGATCGATCTATTGTGTTCCAGATAATCTGCCAAATGCCTTTTTAGCCTGGAAAGCATTTTGGCCTGTAATTAAATAGCTTCCTCTCCCAGAGGTTAGTGAGTGACATGATGCTAGGGAACTAATGACTGAAAAAAAACAGTGGAGCTCAAAATAAATACTTCGTGCAAGTCTACAAATGGACTACTCCTGTCAGCTCGGGAATCTAGTGGAGCTTCCCAGATACTGAATAATGAATTTTAGGGTGCACCAACCTCCCTGTCCTTCACTAAGTATAGCCAGCCGCAGGTTTTCATGTACTATCGGACATTTGTTTTAGAATTTTCCATGTTACAGAACTTTTCTTAGCAGTGGCTAGCTTATGTATTTAAGAATCCAAACAATTGTGCTTCAGCACTTTTGAAAAGGAATTTCAGCACTTTCCAAGTTCTCTTTCAGCTACATCTTGAGAGTACTGTTTGTAAATGGGCCATCGGTTTCAGTGCAGCCTTTTGTTACCAGGTAACAGATGCGAAGAGCCCAGACAAACGGACCTCACTTTCAAAGCCACTGTCTGCTACGACACCTCGAGCTGCTGTAAAGAGCAGCCCTGCCACGCCCAGGACAACTGCAGCGTCTCCAGTTACAACAGCCTCCGGTCTGAGAAACACTGCGACTTCCCCACCCAAAAGGCCAACATGTAAGCATTGCCCTGCTGAGCTCAGGACGAGCACCCTTTCTTTCTAAACTGTTGCTAGCTTCTGTTGAAAAATGCTAGTATTTGGATTAGTTCACAGAAATGTAGCCACCTCTTGCAGCTCATAGCACCCCTGACAGTTTGAACTGAAATTCCACGCTTGCCCTTCTCTGGCCCCAGATGTTTGTCACATTTAGGCTGCCATTAAATCAAGTGGCTAGTTCTTCAGTTGCAAATAAAACTATCACATTTTTGGCCACCAATGGTGAGGGCTGCTTGAGCTGTGATAGGTGTGAACTTGAAGTGTGATAGGTGTGTAGAGATGGTGGTAGGCAGATGCATAGACATAGGGGACAGAAAATTTAAGTTTCATAAATTCAGAGTCTGAGACCGGAAGGGGACCATTAGATGATCCATTCTGACCTCCTGAATATGTAGGCTTGGCAGAATTAGATTTTTATTTTTTTGTAACTTCAACAGATATTAACGTTTTGTTTTCAAGCATTTTTTTATTTTTGTCTATTTAAAATTTTCACAGGAAATTATGGGGTGGTCAGACAATAAGAGGGGTCATGAAATTATTTTTTGACAGTAGATGTTGAAGTTCAAAAAGTTAAAGCTTTTCATAAAAGTCTAAAACACAAATTGTCAACATCACATGTCAAAATAATCAAGTAAATACCCTTAAATCAAACTCTAAATTCGCCAGCAGCATTTTTTTTTATTTTGCCGATCTGTAAATTTCTGTTATCATCTATGGAAATATTTTTCTGTTGGTTTGTATGTGTTGGATGAAATTGACATTTATCAATATTTACTGATAAGAATCTAATACTTCCAAGCCTGTGTATATCACAGGCCATCTACATTTCACCCTGTTTACACTTTGCTCAGTGAAGGGGTAACTTGTACTTGGCTAAAGCAAGGACACCTGGTGTTGATCTGAAGATATCAAGGAATGGGAAACCCCTCACTCCTCTTTGTAACTTGTTCCAATGCTTAATCACCCTCACTGTTAAAAATATTGTGCCTTATTTCTAATTGAATTGTCTGGCTTCAGCTTCCAGCCATTGCTTCTTGTTCTGCCTTTCTTGCTAGATTAAAGAGCCCTTTAGTATCTGGTATTTTCTCCCTGTGAAAGGACTGTAATCAAGTCAATTCTCAGTCTTCTTAACATGCTAAACAGGTTGAGCTCTTTAAATCTCTCACTGTAAGGCATTTTCTCCAGCCCTCAAATGATTTTTGTGGCTGTTTTCTGCACCCTCTCCTCCAACTTTTCACCATTCAGAACTGGATGCAGTATTCCAGCGTCAGTCTCACCAGTGCCATATACAGTGGTAAAATCACCTCCCTGCCCCTACTCACCACTCCCCTGTTATACATCCAAGGATCACATTAGCTTTTTTTGCCACAGCATCACACTGGGAAAATAGTGTGTTACTTGTCTACTATGACCTTTAAATTCCTTTCAGAATCCAGAGTCCCTCAGTCTGTAGGTATGGCCTGCAATCCTTGTTCCTAGATGGGTAATTTTGCATTTGGTTGAATTAAAACACATTTTGTCTGAATGTGCCCATCTGACCAAACAATCCAGATTGCTCTGTATGACTTCCTAGTCCACATCAGTTATTACTGTGCCATTCTGTCATCTGCAAACTTTATCAGCAGTGATTTTATATTTACTTCCAGATCACTGATGAACATGTTGAATAGCACTAGGCCTGGTGCCAGACCCCATGGACCACTACTAGAAACACTCCCATTCAGTGATGATGATTCCTCATTGACAGCTAATTTCTGAGACCTCAGTTAGCCACTTCTTAATTCATTGAATTTGTGTTTTATTAATTTTGTATAGTGCCCATTTTTAATCAGAATATCAGGTGATACTATGTCAAAAGCCTTATGAAAGTCTGTCTGTTGCATCGATGCAGTTACCTTTATTAACCAAACTTGCAATCTCATCGAAGAATGAAATCCGGTTTGTTTAAGTTCTATTTTCCATTAAACCACATTGACTGGAATTTAATCATATTCCAATTCTTTAATTCTTTACCTATAGAGTCCTGTATGACCTTTTCCACTATTTTGCTTGGGATTGATGACAGGACTAACCCGCTTACAGTTACCCTGCCATCTCGCTGGCCCTTTTCAAAAATTTCCACAGCATTAACACCCTTCTGGTCTTCTAGAATTTCCATGGTACTCCAAGATTATTTAAAAATGAACATCTGCAGGCCAGTGATCTTCTTAGGCAACTCTTTGGGATTCTTGGTTGTAAGTTAACCAGTCCTGTTGATTTAAAAAATATTTATCCATAAGAGATGTTATTTAACATCCTCCTTAGTTCTAATAGGCTGGAAAGTACTTCATCATCTTCATGTGATATGAGTACATTATCCTGCTTCTTTCCAAATATAGAACAGAAATATTTATTGAACACTTCTGCCTTTTCTGCATCATTATTAACAATGTTACCATCTACATCTAGTAATGGGCCTACACCATTGCTAGTATTTATTTTGTTCCTGATATTAACAAAAACAAAAACAGAAAATTAAACAGACCACCTCCTTCTTGGCCTTAGGCCTGCCAGCCATGGAATTTCCCTGATGTCTTTAGTGTCCCTTAGTAATTTTCTGCACTTCATAACTTCTAATTTATATCGATTGCTATATATTTCTTTTGGGGTTTTTTGGCTTCTAATTGCTCACTTCAATTTGCCACAATCAGGATGGGCTGTCAGCCAAAGTTGTCCTCTATCTTGGTTGGGGAATTGTGGCTTTTTGACCATCTCATTACCTTTTCTTAAATAACTCCCAATTTTCATTTACCTTTTTCTGTCTAAATTTTTCTTCCCAATCAGTTTGGCTCATAAGTTTCGTCAACTTTTGGAAATTTGCCCTTTTGAAGCACCAAGTGCATCTATTATTGCTTGGGACTGTCTTTTATTTGCCTACATTGAATGTAATCGGGTCATGATCACTGGTCCCTTGGCAACCACCAAATTCCAATCTCTTGAATAATTCATTTTTGTCCATCATAGGAAGGTTCAAAATAGTAACCTTGTATTGGGTACAGTGCCTTGATGGGTCAGAAAATTATCTAATAAAATTATCATCGGGTTAGAGATGATGCCAAAGTTTATAGATACACAAGTTTGCCAAGGGCTGTATTTTTGCCTTTGATATTAAATGAAGACAGTTGAGAGAAGGCCCCAAACTGATTTAAAGAGAAGCAGAGAGGAGGAGTCATTAAAGGTGTCAATTGCCTTTGATATTAAATGAAGACAATTGAATGTCACTAGCAAGCAATTGCTGAGATGTGGGAAAACCATGATATAAAAATGAATAAAAGTAAAAATAAAGCGACCCTTACCCACCATCCTGAGGCCTAACCATCTTATGACATTCTCTAGCCTCCCCGAGACTTTATTCTACGGGATTGAGTCTACCTCTGAAGGACATGAGTTTTACCGTATCTTGTGAAATAAGAGGCTGCTTTTGTAATGAGAGGACGTTCACCCAGGCATGGGGAGCAGCTGATTTTATGAGGTACTTTGGTGTTTCCCTCTAAGTAGCAGGAAAGAGGCTCGCCCTAAAATGAGTAGCAGTCATCCTTTTTTGCATCTCACAAGTATGCACTGGGGATACAGAAGAAGCTGATATCTAAGAAGCAACGGAGACTGTATGGCCGCTCGTGGAAACTATGCCAGCAACCACCAAGGGTCGGTCTGTGTGTCGGCTTTCACTCCCAGTAACACCGTTGAATCTGTTCACAATGAAAACATGCAGAAAAGATTGACTGTTTTTGTACCCTTTAGCTATCAAGACTGAAACAAAGCTTGCAGATGCCAGGAAGACCACTGCGAAGTCACCATCAGGTAATGTCCCTCAGGTCCTGCATCTAAATGCTTCTCTACTTGACTCCAGAAATGTGTTCAATCAACATGTTACCCAACTGTAAAGATACACAGTATTTGTCTGCTTGATGCGATTGATATTTACTCAAACTTCCCTTTCTGCTATGCTTATTGCCGCAGACCTGAGCCGCCCAAAGAGTGCGCCTGCAAACTCTGCGAAGAGCAGCGCCACTACCCCTACTGCTACAACCCCAGGTACTCCTGCCTCACCTGGAGTCGCCACCAGCCGCCCCAAACCCAAGCCAGCTGCAGCCAGACCCACCACAGCATCGAGTGCAACTCCAGAAGCTAAAAAACCATCAACAGTTAAAGCTCCACTTAAAACCAGCACTGTTCCCAAGCCGCCTCGCCCAACCAGCAGTGTTTCTGCCCCTGACCTGAAGAACATACGATCCAAAATTGGATCAACAGATAACATTAAACACCAACCTGGTGGAGGAAGGGTAAGTCTCCTCAATCGGCTGTTAGGACTACTCATGCATTTAAGAGCTATTGGTAGTCCCTCACCGCTTTCAGTCACTCTATGCTCACTGGCTTTCCTATATTCGGACTCTGCAGAGCTCCTTTTAGGTTCCCCATGTGCACAAGGCAGCACCATTATCGTATAGACTTTAAACTTTAAAAGGTTTCATGGAAGTATTTGGAATATGAACAAAATTTCACAACTCTTTGATATGGAGAAACAGAGCCACACTCCTGATCTGGAGACTAGCTTATGTGAAAACTCAGAGCTCATTTATATTTCAGAGTATCTGAGCAGGGGATTTGGGACTGCTAAATTGTTCACCAGGTAGAGTAATGTGCCACTATGTGGAAGATCTGGATTCAGGAGCAGGTCCCAGGACATACTGTCTCTGTCGACATCAGTAATGTGTTGTACGGGTTAGGCTTCAAGCAGAGGTGGAGTAGGGCAGCATGTGCTGTTCTCAGGACACCCTCTGGTGGCCACAGACAGATAACTAAGGAAGAGGGAGATGGATTGAGAGAACTGCCATGGGAAAAAGTAGATGCCCAGGTTGAAGGAGTGGGTAGGACATAGCTTGAGGCCCTCATTTAATACAGAGGTGCTAATTAATTTTTTCCCTGTGGTTCTCTGAATGAGAAAAGCCTTGGAATATTTCTATGGAGTTCCTTCTAAGGGTCAGACATTAGACTGATTAATGTGTATTCATTTTTAATCAGAAGGTAATCGTTAATGTTTCCATCCTATACATCTTGTAGATGCAGAAACATGAAACTATTATCAGACATCATATAACAGATACTCCCAAACTTTGTCTGACCGAGTATTGAATTAGCAACCTGCCTTTAGTCCGAGGGCTTTACTTTGTGTAAAATGGAGCAAACTGCAGCACCCTTACTTTTAATACAGAGGAGTGGTCTCCTGAAACTGATTTTCCATTCTGATCTCTGTCACCAAGGTGAAGCACTTTTTGATGGGAGCCCTAGTCTCTGAAAGGCACACTACTCATAAGAGCAGTCATGAGCTGCATTGTAGTATACCATAAACCATATCACCTGCTGGAAAAAGAAGGTACCACCGAACTGTTAAAAGTCCAGCGTGTTATACCTGTAGACGGTCATGACCTATTCCTCAGAGTCAAGAAGCCCAAAGAGTGTTTCCACGAGTATGCATTGGGGTACACAAAAAGTGGATATCTAAGTAATGACAGAGAATGTCTGGCTCTTTAGGGAAAGCTGTGCCAGCATTCACAAGGGGAGAAGCTTCCAAACAGGGTAAACCAAACCTGGCTGGAGGACTTGGAAGTGAGAACCAGGGGAGGAGTGCTCACAAATTGAATGCAAGTCGAAACTAGATTGGCGGTTCACTAACACCATTAAGGTCCTTCAGAAATCTGTTCAGAAGGAGCACTAAAGCTCACTTTAATTTTTTAGACTGTTCCAGAATTCCAGAGGCATGGGAAGTTTTCTGACTAGACTTCAGGGCTGTCTGTTAAAGGGGCATTGTTTGGTACAATGTACTCCCTTGTTTTGTTGGATCATTTCCATTTCATAGTAGCAGTGTGTTAGAATGTATGTTAACATAGACTGTATGTCAAAGAGAATCATTGTATTTCTTGCAGGGCTTTTAAAGTCTTCTCTGTTTATTAGGAAACTCCTGTTTTACTGCTGTATTATTAATTGGTTCAGCAGGGTACAGGGCTGCTGGAGAAGCCCTGGTCTTAAAATATTCAGCCTTGAGTGCACTCACCTTTTGTGGTGAGCATTGGTTAAAAAGTAAGAAATCAGCAGAAAAATGGGTTATCTCAGGTTGACACTGAGTTTTTTCCAAAACTGCAGATCCTCACGCTGAACTAACTGCAATTTTTTGCCTTTGCACCAATCTAGATTAACTAAATCTTAATACATAGGATTAGTCATGTTTCTTCACCACTGTCCTCAGCATAATTTATAGCATGAGCCAAATGAGGGTGGTGAGGGAGATGAGTAATGAAAATACAGTGCAGACGCACCCAGCAGAACACCTACTGTAGTAGCGTTGTAGAGGTGGGAAGAAGTCTCCAGGTAGACCTGTGGAGCTAAAAAACTGTAGCATAGGCTCAGTGATCAGGACAGAATCTGGCACAACTGTTCAGTTATTATAAGGCCGGGCATAATTCTTCCACAGAGCCTTGACCACCTACCCCACTAGGAAGTGCTAAAATTCTGATGCATGAAGGGATCTTTCAAGAGTTTCACTTGTCTGAGTGAGACTGAGCCTTCTGCTTTACCAGTTCTCACCATTTTAACATGTTGATTTATAAAAAGTTCTCCCTGGCTTGTCCAGTCCACTGAATCCATCTTGGTTGTTGATTTGAATTCCATCATTTCCTTCCATCATTTACTTTGATTCTCGTGGTTAAAATCATCCTCCATTTGTCTCCATCTAGGCTAAAGTAGAGAAAAAACCAGAATCAGCCGGTGCGGCGCGAAAGTCTGAACCCAATGCAGTCTCTAAAATGGCTACTACTAAAACAACTGTAACAAAAGAGGGGGCACAAAAGCAGCCCAATGGGAAAGTGAGTTTTGTTTCAGTCTTTTATCCCTGAAAGATGAAAGGAAAACTTTTTTCCATTTGAGTCACTTTCCCTTCTATTTAGCTTTTATGCTTTCTCGTGTCAGTGTCACTGTTCCCTCCCTCCCCCACCCGCACCTTTTCCACATCTTTCCTGTATGTCCTGACACTGCCAGTAAAATACAGTCAAGTATTCCTACTGACTTCACATACCGTTTTTTTCAAGGCCTGACTTACACATTGCTTGAGTGGTGTGCTCTGACTTCACTTTTAGATAGGCTAACTCTAAGATGGGCTGGTCTTCTGTGAGGAAAACCTCCCTTCTCTATGGATGCTGCCAGTTTGGGATTAGGAAGAGGGATCAATGGTCCTGGCACTTTCAAACAAAACAAAACAAAAAAATGGAGAACTGGTGACCTAATGTTCTCCCTGTAACTTTCCAGACTTAGTTTCACCAATACTGTTCTCTAACCCCTCACAGCTAGCGGTTGCTAATTGTTGGCGTCCTACCCTGAAGTTCTGTCATGAAGTCTTATTCCAGATCTGAGCTATGTGGGGGAAGGGAGTAGAGAAGAGGAGGGCTGGCAGTGAAAGTTTGTTAACTTGTGAGCTGGTGCTATCTTCTGAGATACCATCAAGTAGACCTTATATATGTATAGGATGGCATTGGTCTTGCTCTTAAATGTTTTGCTCCTCTGAATTAGAGCCAGCAAACTGGTAAGTTTCCATGGCAGGGTAAATTTGAGGGTCCTTGTTGCACTGAATCCAATCTACCTAAATTGGCAAGTATCCTTTGAAAAATCCATGTTGGTGGTTCTAGCTACAGGTGATATCTTCAATGTACAAAACCAAAGTACTGTAAGAGGTAAAGTTTCCACCCCATATTTAATTTATCTTGTTGTACCATAGGTGTTTCTGAACATGCTGTACTGTAAGTAACCTCTAGGACTGAACTTGAGGACTGGTCATAACTGATCTTTTTTTTTAAGAATAGAGTTGTAGCTTTCACTTAACTTTTGAGGGTTCATAGCCTTAGGCTTTTTTGTGTGTTTAATGGGTCTGGAACTGTTTCAGTTTGTTAGATACATTGTTTCTCCTGTATCTGGCTGGCATCAGACTGCTGCCAATTAAGTTAAATTGGTGGTTTGACAACCTTCCATGTAGTTATTGCTTTCAGGATTAGGCTAAACTGCTGAGAGGTTTTCAGTTGCATTGCCTAGGATTTGAGTTGTTCCCAGGCAAACTGGAATAGTTAATAACTGCAGCGACTAACCAGTAGGTCGTCAGAGGCAGTGACTTGGATCAACGAGGTGAAAGTGTGCGAATGAAGGGATGGAGATGGCCATGTTAGTTCTCACTGCTGGAATGCATGGCTGAACATGCTCTGAGGAAGCTAGCATACACAGTCTTCTTGGCAGCCAGGCGCTCTTGTATTGCTAATCTGTACAATACGCTAAGAAAGTGTTGTCCTCCACCATAGCACTTAAGCTGTCACCACTACCACTGTCTGCTTAGCTGTACTCTGCCTCTCCTTGTTTGTTCACTCTTTTTCTCTCTGTCTTTCAAGTTCTTTCACATCTAATACTGAAATTGGGTTGAAGTTTAACACAGCTCTTTGTTTATCCACCATGTTACAGCATCACTCCAGCCTGTCGTATGACAGTTCTAACCAGTCCTCTTCCCTTGTGTTGTTTTTCCATTCTGTAACGCTCTAGGTCCAGATAGTCTCCAAAAAAGCGAACTACAGCCATGTTCAGTCCAAGTGTGGTTCCAAGGACAATATTAAGCATGTCCCTGGAGGTGGGAATGTAAGTATGGGCTCTGGACAAGCTGTCTTTCTACTAACTTCTGTTCTTGTTCTGCTTTTTTATGTGGTCTCTTGAGAATATTCTGTTTCAGGCAGATGAGCACGGCAGAATTAAGATTTCTGGGAAGTGTGTAGATAGACTTTTCCCTAAGCTGAAGTAGGTTAAATGTGTGAGCATATGTTACATTTCACAGCCGTGCATTCGACCCATTTCCCAGTGATCTAAAGCAAGGAGGACTTTGTACCAGGAGAAGGACTTTGAAACACTTCTGGGGGTGAAAGTTTCCAATCTTTGTTTAGTTACTAACTTAAGAGCGACTTCTAACATTCAAGGCTACTGGTTTCACTGGAAATAGGGAGGTGAGCTTGCTGAGGTGTTGCGAGCTAATATTGTGAGGGTTGTATATGAACTTCGAGTACACGCTATGGATTTCAGATGGAGGTAGTATTGCTAGGTGCCTCGAGCTGAGTGGGTGGAGCAATGCCAAATACCCATCTGGATGCTGTAAAACATAGGCTTTAAAAAGACGTCCTGTGTTGACCTGACAGGTCACCTGTTTCCCAGCAGACACAGCTTGCATTACCTTTAAAAAATATATCTACATCTGTACCAGGGTTTGTTTACTTCCTAAGTAGTGATAGGTTCTGGGAATGCAGAGTGTGGGTGCTAGTAGCAATAGCAACTTTGCCACTGTTTTAAATAAGGAGGGTGACCGGGTGGAAGAGTCTGTTTTTTGCTGCTGCTAATTTTCCATTGTCCCTGTGACCCAACACACTGACAGCCATTGGCCGCTGAAGTTCAGAATCCCTGGACTGAGTGGGAGTGTCACCTGTAGTGATGTCCTGGCTTTCCCTTCTCCATTCCACTGACTCTATGCAGGTGTGGGATTAAAAACGTATTAATGCAATGCTGTTTAAAAACGCTAAAGTAAATCCCTTCAGCTCCTCTTCCAGGATGGAGCGGGGAGGAAATCTGCATCCTTGGCCCGAAAATAGTCAATCGTTGGAGGCAAGCTTAGTGCTCAGTGCCTGGTCACCTGCTTCTGCATCTTGAGCACTTGCCACTCGCTGGATTCGGAGGCTGTAAATGCTGCCTCGTATATTGCTTGTGGTGCAGGTCATGCTCTGTAAGCACCTTCTTGAGAAATATGCGTGTGGTTGTCTTCATGGTTATGCACCAACTCTTGCATTCAAATTCTTTCATAAGTTACTGCAAGAAGATCCTGAAGATGTTCATGGTGGGTTTTATTTAAAAAGCTTGTTAAATCAAAGGCTAGTCATCCTTTTCACAGGTGGATAACAACCTTTCCTTCCAGGTGTAGGAAGAGCCCAGCTACCAAGGAATACAGGTGTAATTTTTATTTAATCAGGCTTTTGTTCTCTTCAAGATTTATGACTGCTGAGACTTTTTATATTTGTGCTGAGATTGTCTCACATTTCAGTTTGCCTGTGCTTGGCATCCATAGTGTTAGTTACACATTTGTATCCTCCATGGATTCCTAATCTTCTTGGGGTTGGAGAGTGTGTAATCTCCTGTGGAGGCGATTTCCTAGGTGAACTCTGCTTTGTGCTCTGCAGCTCAGTCAGGAAGATTGGGGTGGAGGTGGTCAAAGACTGGCTCATCAACTGGTGTTTGTGTGCATGTACAATGTTGTTTTCTGGCTATGGTACATTCCTGTTTCTTACTGCTAACTTGGTCTAACTGTATCCCCAGAGCTTGGAACATAATGTTTAGATATAATCTGGATTGCTGGCACGGGTTCTTTCAGCCGTACTGCTAAAGAGCAGCTGTTATGCACCCAAAGGGGCTTTATTTTATAAACCACTCCTTTTCTGTTGATTGGTTTTTTGTACAGTACATTTCTGGCTGGGCCTCATGTACATTTTCCTCCTCTGTTATCAACAGACCTGTTACAGAATAAATAAAACCTTGGGTTGTGGGGAATGTTTTTCACTTTACACTAAAAATCCCATGTAATAAACCACCAAACCTGTCCTCTTCTCTCGGTTTTACTGTTCTTCTGTCCCCTCTAGGGGATGTTTCCAGCTCTAGGGAAGAGGTATCCTCTTTCAGCTCTTTGTTCTCCCAGTCTCTCTCTTCCTGTCACCACTACATCTCTCCTCCTCAGTCCACTAGTTAAGCTGTTCACTTTAAGAACAGAGAATAAAGTGCTTATCGTTTTCAGGTTCCAAATGCCCCAAAGCCAGCTTCAGGCAGCCGCTCCCAGCCGTCCATCGCCCCCAAACCCAGCCCAGGCAGTACCAATGTGAGTAGAAGAGCCAGACTGGCACACCTGGCTTCTTACGATTGGATTTCCTTTTGTCCGTTTTGCATTCCCTCTGCTATTCCTGGGCACTGTACCAGGTGTCCACTTCTGAGGCATTTTCTGTCCAGTCAGACAGCATGAGAGAGTTGTCTCATTGCATCTGCTCACAGAAACTCCCTGTTCTTAGGGTTTTTAACCATACAGCTGATGGGAAGGATTGAAAAGTCCACGGTTCCAATGCTACTCTCTCCTCAGTAATGGCTGTTGGGCGTTTTGGGGGCAAGCAGAGTGGTTAGCAAAAGCTAGCTATTCAGGTTTAGTGTTGCCATTTTAAAAAAAAGGTCTGCTGTGGTAGAAGTGACTGGGACTCGCTAGCCAATTCATTCAGTTACCGTCTGGGGGAAAAATTGGGGGGGGGGGGGGGGAGGAACCTGCTTGCTCTGCCTCCTATGTGCAAAGGCGGTGATTGACTGTCTGGATACTGAGAAGTTGAGGTTGAAGGCTGTAGACTCTACGAAACATAATGAAAGCAGTAAAATAAAGACCTCAAAGCATGCAGCATTAGATTTTACCTGGAAATAGTGTTTGTTACATTTTTATAAATAAGGAGAAAAAATACAAAAGCAAAGCAATAGAAAGAAAATGCCTACAGTAAGTTTAAACCTAGCGAGGAGTAAGACATTAGGATAATCCATCATTTACGGCATTGGTTACAATGAACGACACTTACGACGTTTATAAATTGACATCCTGTTTCGACTTTACGATGTCAGTTTCGATTTTACGATGCTCTTTCCAACATTGTTCCTATGGGAATTTCGAGTTACGACATTTTCGACTTGAAATGCGATTTTCAGGAACCAATTGTATCATAAAAATCCGAGGACAACCTGTCTATTCATTTTATCCCTGTTGTCAAAGGGTCTGGGTGAGATCATTCAGAATTCTTCTAAGAGCATGTGGGTTCTTTGGTGCCTTGGGGCTACCACCCTGCTAATGGAAAGTGGACGGAGAGTGGGTTAGAGAGGTGAAAAACTAAAGGAAAGTAACAGTCACAGTTCCTACCCAGAGTGCCTAAAGTCAGACAACTAAATCAGCACTTCACTTTGGCCCCTGAGTCTGAGAACACGTCCTTTAGAGGGACAAGTTCAATAATTCAAGTTAGGCTTTGTCTACACTGACAACTGAACGTTGTCGTTCAGAGGTGTTAAAAAACGCACACCTCCGTTCCCGAAAGACACAAGTTTTGTCAACGAAAAGTGCCGGTGTGAACGGTGCTTTGTTGGCAGGAGCGCTCTCCTGCTGACAACACTGCTGCCGCTTGTTGGGGGTGGAAGTTTTTTGTCGGCAGGAGAGCTCTCTCCTGATGACAAACTGCAGCTACACAGCACACCTTTTAGCGGCGCGGCTGTAGTGGCACAGCCGTGTTGCTAAAAGCTGCATAGTGTAGACAAAGCCTTAGTAAGAAGTGGGAGATTGAGACTCGTACAAGAAACAGCTGTCCACAACCTAAAGATTTTGTGAGAAATCACAGTGACTTCTTCAAGGTCCTCGTTCTTGTGTCCAGTTTTTACCATTCAATTAGCCAAGCGACAGAATCTTAGTCCAGTCATATCATAAAAGCCATCATCACTAATGGGCAACTTTACTGGCACACTCTGTGGTGACCAAAGACTGAATGAAGCATGGCCACTGAACTCTCTTTTAACCCCCAGAGAGCTAATTGTCTCCTCCAGGTCAGGACTGAGAGACATTGGCATGGGACAATATAGAGGGGGCTTATATTACTTCTGTCTGGACTGTACCTATTCTGTGAACAAACAGAGCATTGAATCCAGCACCTTATGCAAGCACTAAACGAATTCACACAATTGCCCCCCTCCCCCCAAAAAAGCTAAGTTACAAATACAGAGCTTCACATGTGCACACAGTGAATCCTGAAACTTCTCAGTAGGCTCTTAATGGGCTTCATCATGGCAATTGCAATGGTTTATAAGCTCCCAGACCTGAAGAAGAGCTCTGTGTAAGCTTGAAAGCTTCTGTCTCTTACCAACAGAAGTTGGTCTCAGAAAATATATTACCTCATTCACTTTCTCTCTCTAGTTTATAAAGAGGTGAACTCAATAATAAGGAAATACTTTCATTTTGTTTATATGGATAATCTGATACTGCATATTCCAAGCAAAGGAGGAACTAGATAAGAGGATCTTCCCATGTCTCCCCCCCCCCCCCCCCCCCGAGTTAGTCCTATTAAAATAACTAGAAGTTATTAATTCCTTGTGGGGGAAATCTTGGTGATATAGCATCTTCCATGCAGCATTTTACAAATTAACCAGGCAAGAATAACTTCATTTGCCACTGAAATGCAGCTTCCTCTGGGATGGAATAGGTTAACTGTTTGGTGGCACACAGCAATGCTACACAGCAGGTTAGGGGCTGCAGCGGAAGAATCACACATGCTACTGAAACTCCAGGAGGCACAGTATAGTTACTGAAGCTAGAATTCAGCCCAGGTATCAGGGCTAAAACCCCATTCTGGGGGAAAACGCTGTGAAATCTTTAATGGCTTAAAGTAGCAACAGCCTTGGCTTTACATCTTTTCCAAAAGAGGACACCTCCACCAGCAGCCCTAGGCTAACTTCATGCTGGGACATTGACTCATTACTGACCCAGAAGAAGGCCATCTATTGAATCACTTACACTACTGCTGTTGCTGGTTTTCTGGAGGTTTCCCAGTCAGGTATTGATCAGGCCCAAATGTGCGTAGTTTGAGATTTGTCAAGAAAACAACCTTGTGATGATGTTGCTGCAGCAAATAAAACCCAGTAAATAAAATATATGTATTTCCATAGCTTATCTCCGAGAACCCCCAAATCCAGCCTGTTTTTATAATAGCAGTAAGACACAGTCTTAGGTCTGGCGATGCAGTCTATCCCCACACGTAGCAGTGCATGCCTGTCAACATGCCCTAAAGAAACAGACTTAATATCTGGTGGATCCACATCTTGGTGTGTTGGCTGAAGATGGTAGAGAAAAAGTTGGAGCCTATGGTATATGCTTGGCACCACAGCAGGATAGCCTTACTCCAAATGGACCAATACAGATAACTTCTTTCCTGGCACTTGGCTGAAGGCAACATGGGACAGGTTTAAAAGTCAAGGCTGGTGTTGGATAGAAACAGTTTGGGGAACTTGGTGGTGGAATTGGCTTCTTTGGTCAAACTTTAATACTCATATGCATATGCCATAAGAGACACTCATTTCTGGTCACTATCCATCTCTACTGGTTTTATTCAGTACACGTTTCTACTTGCACATATTCACCCTTTGTTGGCTGGGACAGGGCTTTTGATAATACTAATGAATGTTTGCCTTTTTCTTAAGAATTCTTGAAACCTACATCAGCAATGCTATTTGACACCTACCAGATTAATGGGAAAAGTGTGGCAAGGGGAGATTAAGACCTCGTTAAATATCAACTGCCCTTTGTGGTGAGACAGTGGTTTCCAGTTTCATAAGACGTGTTTCTTTGTGCTGAGTTGTTCCTTCCTGTCTCTGTAGGTGCAGATCCAGAGCAAGAAAGTTGACATTTCCAAAGTGTCCTCAAAGTGTGGCTCTAAAACGAATATAAAACACAAGCCAGGTAAAACGCACCCTCACGCTTCGCCATTTAGTGACTGTTGCGTGTCATTCGGGCAGAACCTGTGATCCCAACTGGAGCAAGTTAGGTGGCTGGATGGTATTCCGAAGGGAAGTATCTAGTTTCTTATGGATGCAGCGTGATCTCCTGGTTAGAGAAGGGGACTGGGAATCAGGAGAGCTGATTCTATCCTGGCTGTGACAGTGACTTGCCTTGTTCTACGCCTCGCTGAGACAGTCACTCGCCCCCAATAGCAAGTCATTGTTACAGCCAGGCTTAGAACAAGGCAAGTCACTTAACCCGTCTGCCTCCGTTTTCCCAACTCTAGAATGGTGAGATACCTGCCTTTCAAGGGGTTTGAGCTTAATGAGATCCTCAGAGGGAAGGCATTAGAGAAGGGTGAAGTAACCTCTCTCCAGTTCTCCGGAACAGATGCCGGAGACCTTTTGTACAGTAACAATCCATACTTTTTATGTAACACCTGTCCTCAAATGATCCTAAATCACTTAACAGAATGGATGTGCAAGAATCCTTTGTTCCCCACTGACAACACAGCAGAGGCACCAATTCCTCCAATATCTGAGATTTCCATTGGACTCCACTGAGCAGACCCTCTCTTTAGCTGAAATGCTGACAGGATCACAGTCCGAGGTGTTATGGCTGCAGGCCAGTTGTCTAAACTTTGCTTCGTGTCAGATCAAGCTGACCCTTGAGTAAACCCAAAGAGTGTGGTCCAGGTCCTTGACTTGCTGGCTTTTTCAGTAGCAAGGGACATTCACCTGGACAGAAGAGTCCCCGGTAATGAAACATGCCTCTGTGGAGAAAACAGAGGTCCCAGTCCAAATCTGTAAACACACACTCCAAGCTAGTCTTTGTTTCCAAAGAAGTCCCCAGACCCAGCCCGAAAGTCTCTTGGGTTGAAAGCAATTCAACCTTGTGCACAGAACATCATGGTTCAGTGCATCCAAAACTCTCTCCCACTTTGAGAACATCGTGTGACAAACTTTGCCTCTGTCTATTCAGTGCTTTGCAGTAACAAGCTCTACGCAACACTACAATAACTGCTCTTGTCCAGGGCTGATTAAAACACAATAGTCCAGCAAGAATTATCTGTTATGTCACATTTTTAAGCAATTCTGTGTGGCCAAAATGATGGGATAAAATCCATTGGCCAGAAAGGATTCTGTTCACCCACGCAAAGCTCAGAAATTCTTTTAAAATGCTGAGGAGCTTATGTATTTAATGATGTCCCTGGAGGGCTGAAATTGCCGCCAGTGTTTGACTATATGAACAGCTCTCTAATAAAATTGTTAGAGGAAGCAGAACAATACACTGCACGTCTCCTGTTACTTGATGGGGGTTGCAGCCCTCCCACATTCATCGAGAACTTGCCACAAATCTCAAGTAGGTCTTTGGGCCTCTTTCCATCCCTCCAGCAGAGTGCAGCACTGTCAAACATAGGAACTGGCTTATTTTTCTCCTCCCCCACCCCAATGTTTGGGGAGGACAAAGTGAGGATTTGCTTGTTCTATGGTTCGTGCTGTTGGCTGCATTGCTGACACAGGGTTGCCTCCTGAGCTGTTCATGCAGTGTCACGGGAGTCTGTCTGGAATGAGGCAGGTCTTCCTGCCCTAGAAGACAGTGATTAGTGGATGCAGTTTTACAATTGCAGCTGATGGAGATGGAATGGAAAATAAGTGAACATAAGAACGGCCATACAGGGTCAGACCAAAGGTCCATTTAGCCCTGTATCCTGTCTTCCGACAGTGGCCAATGCCAGGTGCCCCGGAGGGAATGAACAGAACAGGTAATCATCAAGTGATCCATTCCCTGTCGCCCGTTTCCAGCTTCTGGCAAACAGAGACTAGGGACACCATCCCTGCCCATCCTGGCTAATAGCCATTGATGGACCTATCCTCCATGAACTTATCTAGTTCTTTGTTGAACTAGCTAAACTACTGGGGGAATGCAGTGAATGAAAGGGAGTCAGAAATCATACACCAAGATCAGGTTGTGGATCCCTTGCAAACATCCACGTAAATAATGAGACGAGGTTGCCAAAGGACATGGAGGGAGAGGTGTCTGCACATGTATGTGAGTGGGCAGTTAGAGGATGCAATCAGAAATAACCTTGACATTTAAACGTGGATTGACCGTACTCCTTTGGAGGAGAGAAGTTGGAAGCACCGCTGGTATAATGAAGGTGGTAATGTGCAGTTCTTCCTACATACTCGTCCTAACATGCAGCATTCTCTGCCCAGGGGCATCTCCAGGGTTGGACTCTGGAACTCATGCATGCTTGTATTGTGGTTTTGTATGCAGAGGTGGAGTTCACCAACTTTCATCTTGACAATGATCAGATTTGAGCCCAGGCCTCAGTTGGTGAAAGGCTGACACACTTAATTCACTGTTCCACTCTACCCCCTACGAAGTAATTGGCTTAACGCAGAACTCTGGGGGTGAGTTTGGAGCAGGAGGAGGAGGAGGGAGGTCCTGGGTCAGACTCTGCTCCAAGTGCTCCCCTGTTCTGAAACCAATAATGAATTCCATCCGCCTCTTTTGTTCCAGGGGGAGGAGATGTCAAAATCGAGAACCAGAAGCTGAACTTCAAGGAGAAGGCGCAGGCGAAAGTGGGCTCTCTGGACAATGTCGGACACGTGCCAGCAGGAGGCACAGTGAAGGTACATTTCATTCCGCTCTGTGAGAGAGGTTTTCTTGAGCTCAGTTCAGCTCCCTGTCTCATTGCTAATGCATCCACCTGGCCCCTTCAGTCAGCCTGTGGCCATTTACTCATTCCCAGCATCACTTCCATAATCACTCTGTCATTAAATCCAGAAAACAAGGAAGGGCTAAATGGGAGAGAGCTCTGAACCATGTCAGTGTCCATTCTAGGTGGGTCCCACTGCATGTCTCTAGAGCAGCGGTTCTCAAACTTCATTGCACCACGACCCCTTTCTGACAGCAAACATTACGACACGATCCCACGTAGGGCTGAAGTTGTAGCCTGGGCTCAAGCCTTTGGGCTTCGGCTTCCGCCCCAGATAGTGGGTCTCGGGCTTCAGCTTCATCCCCGGGTCCTAGCGAGTCTAACGCAAGCTCTGGCGACCCCAATAAAACAGGTCACGATGCAGAGTGTGAGAACCGCTGCTCTCAGAGAGCAGCCTAGTTAATTTTGTCTCCCTCCCTCTAGAGGGTCTGAGAAGAGGCTTAATCTTTTAGGCTAGATGTATAAACCGGTCCATTGTTGCAAGGGTGAGAGGAAAGCCTTGCATCCTACTTTTCCTCCCTCTGTTGTGATGTTAGCATACCAGCTCGCTAGTCCTGGCTAAGTGTTTGTGTAACTTCCTTATTGCACCAGTCAGAGCAACCGGAATGGCTAGTTGGAAGCTCTCTCCCAAACAGAGCTGCTGAGATCAGTGTGCTCTGGGCTGCAAATAGGCATTTTACTGCATCAAGGAATCTGTCTGCCTGGTAGAATCCTCCGTTGGTGGTTTAACCTCATACTAAACCCAGCTCTGAACCCTTCCTCTGGATAACTGTAAGAATGAATTCTTGCTTTAGAGTTGGATGCTATCTTGGTACAGCACTTCTCTGCCACAAGGACATGAAATAATTCAAACTACCCTCAGCCACAGCTCTGTAAACTGCACTGGAGCATCTCTCAGCTTTACTACAGCCATGAGGCATCTGCTTTTAGGGGTGGGAAATCACCCCCACTTAGATGACCTTTTCATTATGAATGTGCAGGCTACCATACCAAGCCATGTACACGTGAGAATGGAGCTGGAGTTTCATAGATTCATAGATTCTAGGACTGGAAGGGACCTCGAGAGGTCATCGAGTCCAGTCCCCTGCCCGCATGGCAGGACCAAATACTGTCTAGACCATCCCTGATAGACATTTATCTAACCTACTCTTAAATATCTCCAGAGATGGAGATTCCACAACCTCCCTAGGCAATTTATTCCAGTGTTAAACCAGTGAGACAGTCTCTGAGTTCACATATTCAGGTCGATTCATTGGCACCAGGGGTTTAGTTCGAAGCACTGTGGCATAGGAAGGAAGAAATCCTGTGTTCCAGCACAAAAGCCAGCGTCATCTCGGCCCCTGGGGAGGGCACTGGGGCAAAGCATCCCCTTCCAAATGCTTTAGCTTTCCATTGTCTCCATCCTGTTTGTTCGTAACTGACATTTATGGTGTGGGAGCACCGAGAGGCCGTCTAGGTTGGGGCCCATTGTGCCAGGTTCTGCCTCAAACAAGATCGTAAACAGTCCCCGTTCCAGAGTCTGTGTAGGGGCTGGGAGAATAGCATACATGGCAGGATTCACACACAAACAAGGATACAAATAGACCCCCTTAAAATTGAGACGCTGCCAACCATATTTATTTAGGGAAAAGTAGGATTTTTCTTCCACTTTTGAATCCTTTAAACTTAATTTTAGCTCCCAGACAATCAGACTTTAGCAGACAAATGGCTTTAAGTCGGTATAAAAGGAGCTGATATATTAGGGTAGGGGTTGGAATCTAATCCCTGTCCTATTTTATGCCAGGCTGTTTCAGCTATTTATGCTCTACAGTAATTATACTAGTGCAGTTTGCTGATGGCCAATGTTGTTCAGTGGTGTTGGGTTCCATAGATAGTGTCTCTGTCACCTCCACATCCAGTTTGCATTGTGATTTCCCTGTCAGAGCTGGACATTCGCCTGGGGGTGCGAGAAGCCAAGTAGTGTGCCTAGTACCTCTTCCCTCAACACCTGCCGTCAGATCTAATCTATCTCTGTCGCCAGTGTGTGAGGCAGACTAGACTCCAGCTTACTCATCTATAGCTCTGTGGGCTGCTCCGGGCTCTCTGGAGTCAGACCTTGTTTTAAATAGTAAATCACAGATGCGCAGAACTGAGTAAGAGGGGTACTTTTCTGGTTGTAACTGCCCTTTAGTGGTCTGTCAAGGGGTTAGGTGCAAGACAGCTGGTCTTGCTCTGCTTGCGGAAGAATGGTGTAGAGGTGGGAACCTTGCAAGTTTCTGTGTGTTTTCCTTTAGAATTATCTAGGTACCAAAATTATGGTTGTGTTCATGTGGGCTTAAACCCCAGAAAGGGGGTCAGACGGGTGCACTGTCTGTCGAGGCTGCACGAGGCTGGTGGGGAATTGCCAGCTATTGCTAGATTTGCAGCTCCGCTAGGCAGTGTAGGAAATGGCCATACCTATAGCCAATAAGATCTCTCAGCCCCCACTCAGATTCTCTGAAAGAAAACAGCAAAATCCTTGTTCCAAATGCATCCCCTTAGCCGCTCGAGGAACCCATTTTGTAAAGGCTTTCTCCAAAGGAGCGTGGTGAGCAGGAGCAGGATGGTGGCCAAGATATCATGGCGTGCATTCATTGTTAGAGTCAGGACCATCCACAGCACCCCTCGATACAGAGAATGCACAATAGAGATGAGTTCTGTCTGCAATTCTCACTCTGCCCCTGTGAACACAGCCTTCTTCCAGATGGTGTCTCGTCTCTTCTCAGCCCCCTCCTGTGCTGCTAGTCCCATCTGCTGAGGGGCTTTCCAGATCATTCTGCATTCCCCTGAAGAAGCCACAGCTCTAATTTAGGAGTGTAAACTCATTTTCCCAACAGCAGTGTACTGGACATCGGTGATTCCAAATAGGATCACCCGTGTTAAGGAGAACGTGCCACAGAACAGAATCCTATCCCCTGTAGAGCTGCACCCAATGGCCAGAGACCAGCTTCAGCCAGTATGGCAAGGATGTGGTCTTCTGTGCTAACTTGCCTTTGTGGCTGTGGGATCCACTGTGGATTATTAATCTGGCAAGCAAGCAAATAAGAAATAGAAACAATCAAATCAAGGAGACTGTCTCACTGCAATATATTCAGATCACTTATTTTCACAAGTCCCTTCGCTTTTAACCCTACAGGGTAATGCTTGGTAGTCTGATGGTGTCACTTTGTTCTAGTCTTCTTGCTGCTAGCCTGGTACTACATGTGAATGTACTGCATAGTCCATGGAAGTGACTAGATGTTTAATAATATGAGCGCTCATTGAGTGACTGCTATGACTAGCTAGCTGAGATGTGGCGGGGGGCCAGGGAGGTTTTGGGAGACGGGCTGGGGTTGTGGGTTATTGAAGCGTGTCGCTGCCAGATGTCACTCTGATTGGAGAGCTGCTCCATACAGGTGGGTTTTCAGGAAACCGGGGAGTTGATGGTTGCACTTCTCTGCTCCATTTCTAACCACCCCCCATCTTGGTGTGAGCGGAGAGGGGTCTCCGTGGGACCCTGACTGGAGTTTCTTCATTTCACTCCATTTCATTCCCATCCTTCTACTGACACGTCATTGTCCTCCCCAACCCCGTTGTTTCATTCTAGCCTGAGGGGAGCGAAGAGGGAGCGCTGCTGGCGCAGGCCCCTCAGAATGGAGATGTGACGGCGCCCCAGGCAGACCGTGAAATGCGGGAGAACGGAGTAGGGCCGACTGCGCCCGCTGTGGGTGGTGGTGACCAAAGGGAAATTCAGAGCTTCAGCACTCAGATACAAGAAACAAGTAAGTGCTCGCACCTTCCTCTCTTCTCAGCTCTGCAGGGCGGGGCGGGGCGAGCACTGGCAGCAGGGGCGGAACAGCCTGTGGACGTTGATCTCACGGATTTAAGCTTAAAGTTACATTTTTCTATCAATATTTTGCCATATTTTTAATGAACAAAATTGCCTTTTATTTTCCAGGCATCTAATGATGACATTATGGTATCATCCTCCGCCCCCCTGCCCCCTCTCCCCTCCCCCACTCCCCATCTCACCTACCCCCTTGTGTCGCTGCAGATTGAATCCCACAAACTGACGTTCCGTGAGAAGGCCAAGGCTCGCACGGACCACGGAGCGGACATCATCGTCTCCAAATCCCCCAACCTTTCCAGCAGCACTTCCCCCTGGTGTAGCACGTCCGTCAGCGAGAGCCTGGGCTCCATCACCTCCTCGTCACCGCTGCAACAGCCAGCTCCCCATGCAGACGACCTTTCTGCGGTGCTTTCTCTGCAAGGCTTGTGACTGTCCCCACCCGCCCCGCCTCCCGTGTGCTTCCCAGAGTAACTCAGCTTGGATCCCTTAACCCGGCACTTGGCTTTAGGTGGGAAGGGGACAGCGTTTTAGCAGGGCTAGCTTCCCTTTCAGTGGTGCTGTCTGTCAACGGGGCAAGTAGTTGTTCACCCAAACAGCCCAGGAATCAGGTTCATTTCCTCGTGACGCTGGCTCCGCCTGCCCCAGTGTGTCTCAGGCTCTGGTGATCCCGTGTTGGGTGGAAAGGGGATCCTTTCCTCGCCTCACCTCCAATCCTCTTGCTCTTAGGAGGCACCAGCGTGAGTCTAAATGATGTGTTTCTTAGGGACAGGCAGCTGGAGATCTCTAGACTAAACATGTGCTTAAAGCCACTTCTCGTTCTGGGGAGGGTGCCAAGCCTCATTCTATGGCTGCGTTTGGGCGGAAGTGGTGGGGTTGCGCTACGAGTGGCCAAAGCCAGGCCGGAGTTAATGGGGATAAGCTGTGATCTTTCTCTTTTTTAACTTTTCCTCCTGCTGCTTCAGTTTCGGCTGTTCCTATTTAATGATTATCGATATTATACACACACATTAGGCTGTTTTAACTGTTGACTTTAACCGTTTCATTTTTTTTTTTTTGTGACGAAGTGTTGATGATTTATTGTGCTATGACCATGCTAAGTTTCCTTTTCTCTCTTTCCTTCTTTTCCTAACCATAGGAATAAAGACATTAACCGCTGCTGCAGTGCTGGCTTCTTATCGACATATCCAGCAATTGTAACTGTTGTTTTTCTTTGTGTTGTTTTATTTTAAATATTTTAAAATGATGGAGCAAATTCATGGGATTAAGCCATGTCGGAAAGGAAAGGCATAAGAATGTGCTTAAAAAAAAAAATCTCTTGCTGTAACAGTTCAACTAAGCCTTGTATTGACTGCAACAAGCGATGCTAAGGGGATGCTTAGAGAACCTCCTCTCGGGGTCAATAACCAAGCCCCAGAGGATGCCCTGGCACCTTTGTAGTTGCTTCTATTGGATTAACAAAGGGCGCAAAGTATATTTATTAACTCGAATAGCCACAAACCGTTGGTTGTTTCTTTTTCTTTGCCATGGTATCAGGCCAGGGTTAGGGTAGCGGGGCAGGAAGCTGCTTCAAACAGTGTGTTGCAGGTTAATGCAGGGTGTGTGTTCTGGTGCAAGGGATCCAGTGTGATGTGTATTATTTTTAACAAAGGTTAAATGTAGGGGTAAAGAGATTACCTGGCTAGATGCAATCTGGTGGGAGGCGAGGATGGGGAAGAAATGAAGGGCTGCCTCCCATTCAGGGAGCCAGAGAGGGAGAGCTGAATGTCCGTGAAGGGTTGGGAGGGGCAGAGTAGGCAGGCTTACAATACGAATGCGTTACAGCCCTGGCTCATCAAGAGATCACACACCATTGTGGTTTGAGCTCCTTGTTTTATGTTGCGAACGACACTAAAGAAACAAAATGTATATAAAAAACTGGTGGTCTTGAGTCATCAAACTAACTTAAAGCAAAAAGCAGAATAACAAAATACAGGGATCAAAGCTAACTGAAGACAGACTTCTGCTAAGGGGGCTGGCCTATTTGAAGTAGGGGGGGCGGAGAGGAGCCCACATCTTCCCCTGCTTGTGGGAATATTTCTCTTTGGGAAGCTGACAATGACACGGTAACCCGGAATCTGTATTTACACACAAAGATTCTTATTGCACTTGTATTTTTTATATTAAAGTTTGCATGATTTCTAATAAAATGGCATTAAAATGTAATAGTTTGCATCCAAGTGGTCTGCTAGTCTTGTAAGTGCTTTTTCCTCTAAATACAAAATTGAATAAACAATGCAGATTTGCACCTGAAAGGGGCTGTTATATATACCCTGTTCTCTCCATAAAACTCCCTCTGTTCCCCTCTTCCCCATCACCACCACCTTTCCTCTCCAATTCATGCTACACGCACTCTACCCTAAGACCAGGGAGAAGTTGCTGGGCTTGTCAAATTCTCCTGCCCTCTGTGCTTGAAAGTTCCACATAGTTGTTTACATCTCTCAATGCTTGTTTTGAGGGCCCATCCCGAGGCGGTTAATATTCTCGTAACCCTCTTTGTTCTTTCCGCCGTTTACCTTGCTCTGGAGAGATGGCCGCTGGAGATGTAGGGCTGAGGCTGCACAACCAGAGGCAGCCGGGGCAGCACCATATCCAGTAATCCAGGAATAGCCAACCCATTCGTTGAAAGACTGCTCCCAGTGGGGTGGATTAAGAGGTGGCCCCATAGCCAGTTGCTCTTGCTGTCCTGCTACCTCAGGAAGGGAGGAGAACAAGCATTTCCCCAGGGTAAGATGGCAGAATTGTGTTGTGATGCCCTGAAGCACTGTGACAGCCGCTCTGGCTCTGCAGGTGCTGGCTCAGATCTTTCTTGATGTTCATAGAGACCCATTCACCTGCATGTACCCCTCCCGGTATATATCACTGCCCCTTCTCTGATGCTTCCTACGTTTTGTTACTAAATTCTAAACACCAGCGAGATCTCTTTACATCTGTGAATTGGGATTGAGCGGGAAGGGGGTATTTGAGCAAGAGAAATGGTTTCAAGAGGGAAGGTTAATCCCCTTAACAGGAAAAGGCACAGACTTTGTTTCCCAAAGCAATAATGGAAGTTTGCTCTGAAATAGGAGACCTGACAGGGCTGCACTGGCTGGCGCATTTCTGCAGTAGGGTAGGTGCACATCACCCAATGACAATCTCTCAGTCCCGTGTCTGCAGGTATGTGGAGCCCCAGCTAAATTCCTGTTTAACACCAGATGCTGGGATTGGTGGTAATCTGAAGGCAGGCTTGGGGCTCCTCTCCAGACCCAGGAGTTGAGAAATGTGCAGTAATGAACGAGGTTCCTGTGGAGAAGCAGCTGATAACAGACTCCAGTCACTGCTGTAAAATCCAGCCACGCGCTCCAGATACGTATGGCCAACGCTCCTTTGTTTTCTTCTGAATGACTCGGAGCGAGGTGGAAGCTGAAATATCACGTTCTTTTCACTTCATGCTGCTAGAGACCGCAGGGAAGAGTAAAGCCATTGAGGCAGGATGTGTCTGATGGTCCTTTTTACCGATTTCACTGGGCAGCGAGTGTTTAGTTCGGGGGCCATGATAGGAAGGCAGATAGCAACATTGCACTTTATGTTCTGAGATTACAAAAAAAGAAAAAGAAAAAAACCTGTTTTGCCAAGAGTTAAGTTTTACCTCCTCCCCATCCCTCTTGATTGCTTTTCTCTGATGAATTGGTCGGTCGATAAGCTTACACAGCATCTTAAGGTGGCAGCAGAGTGAAGGCCTATCTCTGAATGTGCACAAACTGTCCCAAACTCTCACAGGTTTCAGCTGAGCGCTAAGAGTTCTCTGTGCTTCTGTGCCACTTCTCTCTAACACTTGTTGTGCCTGTGTTTAGGTGACTTAAACTAGATCCAGATATACCAGTTTGGTTTTGTTAGGACAGCTTCCGTTTTACTAAGAATTTTGTGTTTTATTTTAAAGAAATAGCTGTAAGTATTGCTCACCTGGCAATAGTTGTGTGGGGGGGGTTGAAATGGCTCTGGTTTCCTATATGGAGGGATGGGAGCAAGCGCTGAGTTATGCTGAGACCTGAAAATTAAAGCTGCGGGAAGCGTTACTGGCTATTCTGCAGCAGGTTGGAAAATCTCTGCGAGAAGCTGAAAATCCCGTTAGTCCTGGTTTGCCTTTAAATATTTGGGACATCGACCCGCAAATTGAAAACTCCTGAGCTGTTGCCCCTCACGGCTCAATGCTGCTTCCATTGCAGTCAGCCACTGACTCCAGTGGGAGCAGGATTGGCCCCCGTGTGGGGAAAGGCTTCTGAGCCATGTTGACTTGCGGTGCTCGAAGGAGCCAGAGGTTCTCTCTTCAGCTGCATCTTCTCCAGATGACACATGTAAAACGGAAGGCTTCTCGTGAGCCGGGCTCCTCTTCCCAGACATTAGGGATGCCAGTTGGGTGGGGTTCAACTGGCAGGAGGTAGCGTAACGCCAGGGATCTGTGTGTATTCTTGTTAGGGTTGATCCTAGGACTATGTAGTAAATAAATTCCATTTTGAAAAGTGGTGAGTTGAGTCAGAATTAAATGTGGCTTGAATGTAAATGTTCCTGGCCTGAGATGTCCTTGTAGACCCAGGGAATTCCCCTGGTTTCTCAGGTATCTGCAAGAAGCTGGCATGGCTTGGCACAGCCAGGGGACAGGTGGGGTGGGGTTAGCGTTCTTTTCCCTGGTGGCAGTTGGATTGGGTTTCATAAGCACATCTGACAGGAAACTTTAGGCTACAATGGACTTGACTCCCGATGGATGGGGCATAAAAGCAACGGGCTGCCGTGGTCTCAGCGCTGAGCAGCCCCGTGGCAGAGTGTGATGGGCTGGAAATGGAGATGCGCCCTGCTAACAAGGGCAGCTCCGTTGTAACCACGGTAAGGCTAGATGGGAATGTGTCCCCTAGGGCCATGACAACTCTCACCTTGGGGGGGAAAAGGAATCTTTTTCTGGGCTTGTGGGTAATGCTGGGATTGGCTTGGAGACGTCTGAAATGGCTGATGTGGTGAAAGGTGCCGGTGAGGTTAATAGGCTCTTTGGAAAGTGACTCCTGCAGGAGCTTGGAGGTTCCTTTTCTGGGCTGACTCTTGGTTCCACCTTCCATACTTGAGCTCTCTAACGCACCAACGTGTCGCATTGGGGTGCAGTCAGGGCATCGGTGGGAATGGCTGGCTTCTCAGTGCCTGGGGGCTGTTTAGTTGACAGTGGAGCCTTGCATCCCGTTGCTTATCAGTGACATACACCGTTCAGTGGGGCTTTAATACTGCAAAACAAAGGACATTCAAATAAACAAGTGGA